ACTTGGAGGGGGCCGAGGCTGCAAAATGATTTTCATTTCAACACCCTCAGTTTTGAATTGCTAAATTTCCTGAAAAATTCTCCTTTTTTGGCTGAAATGCCTCCTGCGTTGGGTTTGTGCCCAAGAAGTGTTGCCTGAAGGGGGGCGGAAATCGGCTCACGATGGCTGGTGTTCCAGAAGCTTCTGTCCGCTCTCAGGCTCTTGATCACACAGGTTTTCAGCGCTCAGCCCTTGTTATTTCAGTTTAAGATTTCTTCCAGCTCGAGGGGCTGGGGAGCGGGGGGTGGAGAGACGTTCACTGGCACCAGACATTCTCATCCATCTTCACCTTTTCTTGGAGGAAAGGGGTGAGGAGTGAAGACTGAAGCGGGTCCAGGAGAAGAGGCCAGCTCGCCCGGGGCCGCTCCGTGTCCCCTGCCATTGCCTACCCCACCCCCAGATGTGTCCCACGTTTGCAGTACTTCTCAAAGGGGAAACGTACTGGCCCTCCCTCCAAACCAGGGCCTCTCTCTCTCTCAGCACTATGGACACGGTGAACCAGAGAATTCCCTGACGCGGGGCCTTCCTTGTGCATCGAAGTGTACTCAGCAGTATCCCCAGCCTCTGCCTCGATCCTAGGAGCGCCCCCTCTCCCAGTCCATCAGAAACGTCTCCAGACGTTGCCAGATGTCCCCTGGAGGCTCCATTGCCCTCTGTTGAGAACCACTGGTCCAAACCCAGGAAGGTCATCTTTTTCCGGGCATCCTGCCTGATTCCTGCCTGTCAACCCCCCACCCTACCCCCGATGCGATTACTTACCAGGCTCATGGAACAATTTAGCCTCCGATCAAATCAGCCGGTTGCTCAAGAGTCAGTAAACCCTGCTAACCTGGGAGCTCATTCAAAAGCCAGGATTGAGTGGTATCCGTGGCTGGGCCTGGAATGTTCTAGATGCTCAGCTGAGCAACTTCTCAGCATCGCGTGAAGAACGTAGCACGTATAAAGGGAATGTGTAACTGGGGAAGCAAAAATACAAGGTATGGCCCCGAATCCAGAAGGTTCACAATGCATCCTGTTGGCCCAGCTGTGGGCAAAACGGACCTTCCTGTCCACCGCTGCTGGGAAGCATTATGGGGGATTTGGCCGCACCTAGCATTTTACTCACTGGCCAAGCAATCCCACTTCTAGGAATCTGTCCCAAATATTCACTGGCAAAAATAGAAAATCATGTTTGCACGAGGTTATTAATTGTGGCATTCTTTAATTGCAAAAGATTGGAAACACACTACGTGCCCATCCACAGGGCTCTGGTTTTAGTTGACTAAACCACGGTACATTCGCACAACCGAGCGATACAGAGCTGTGAGAAGGTACATGCAGGACTTCTCTGCACTGGATGGAGGAATCCCTGGGATATATTGCTCAGTGGGAAAAAAGGGAGATACACAACAGTACATGGTCTGCTATCTTTCGATAGAAGAGGGGGAGAAAATATTATACTTGAAAAAAATATTTGCAAAAAGCAATGCTGGGGACTTCCCTCATGGTCCAGTGAGTAAGACTCCACGCTCCCAATGCTGGGGGCCTGGGTTCGATCCCCGCTCTGGGAACTAGACCCCGCCTGCATGCCACAGCTAGGAGTCCACATGCTGCAACCTAGAAGTCCACATGCCATAACCAAAGATCCCACATGCAGCAGCTAAGACCCGGCACAGCCAATATAAATAATAAATAAATAAATAAATAAATAAAATATAGATTTTTCTAAAAAGCAGTGCTGGAAAGATAGAGCAAAGGCTAATTTGAAAATTGTTCTGATATGCGGAGGGAGAGAACAAGAGGGAAAATATAATATGGAAATTAATGCAAATAAAGAGGGCTGGGTTTGTTGGACCAGGTGGAGTGATCTCTGGAGCAAATTAAATAGGAAGAGGCAAGCTTCAGTTCGGGGACTTCCCTGGTGGTCCAGTGGGTAAGAATGCAAGCTCCCAATGCAGGGGGCCTGGGTTCAATCCCTGGTCGGGGAACTAGATCCCGCATGCACGCGGCAACTAAGACCTAGTGCAGCCTAAATAAATAAATAAATATTAAAAAAAGAGAGAGAGAGAGACAAGTTGCAGCACCAATGTGTTCAGCGTGATCTCATGCTTGTAAATTTTTTTAAATACACATTTGTAACTTTGTAAATCTTGGGGAGCAGAGTCGGGAGAAGGGAGTAGTTTGTTTTATTTTATGCCTGTCTGTGTTGCTTGAATCTGTTACTGCGACAAGCAGTGACATTATTTGGTTATTAAAATATACTTTTTTTTTCCTTACATGAAATCTCCAGATTTTTAAAAAATTAAATTTAATATTTATTTATGTTTCTCTCTTACTTTTGAGGTAAAGTGTGCATACAATAGTGTAGAAATCTTAAGTGGACCCTTCACTGAGGGTTTTTTTTCTTCTTTTTTTTTTTGTTTTCTTTTTTTTTTATACAGCAGGTTCTTATTAGTTATCTATTTTATACATATTAGTGTATATATGTCAATCCCAATTTCCCAATTCATCCCGCCACCCCCCACCCCACTTTCCCCCCCGGTGTCCATATGTTTGTTCTCTACATCTGTGTCTCTATTTCTGCCCTGCAAACCAGTTCATCTGTAACATTTTTCTAGGTTCCACATATATGCGTTAATATACAATACTTGTTTTTCTCTTTCTGACTTACTTTACTCTGTATGACAGTCTCTAGGTCCATCCACATCTCTACAAGTGACCCAATTTAGTTCCTTTTTATGGCTGAGTAATATTCCATTGTATATATGTATCACATCTTCTTTATCCATTCGTCTGTCAGTGGACATTTAGGTTGCTTCCATCACCTGGATATTGTAAATAGTCCTGCAGTGAACATTGGGGTGTGTGTGTCTTTCTGAATTACGGTTTTCTCTGGGTATATGCCCAGAAGTGGGATTGCTGGGTCATATGGTAATTTTATTTTTAGTTTTTTAAGGAACCTCCATACTGTTCTCCCTAGTGGCTGTATCAATTTACATTCCCACCAGCAGTGCAAGAGGGTTCCCTTTTCTCCACACCCTCTCCAGCCTTTGTTGTTTGTAGATTTTCTGATGATGCCCATTCTAACTGGTGTGAGGTGAGACCTCATTGTAGTTTTGATTTGCATTTCTCTAATCATTAATGATGTTGAGCATTCTTTCATGTGTTTGTTGGCAATCTGTATGTCTTCTTTGGAGAGATGCCTATTTAGGTTTTCTGCCCATTTTTTGATTGTGTTGTTTGTTTTTTTAATATTGAGCTGCATGAGCTGTTTATATATTTTGGAGATTAATCCTTTGTCTGTTGATTCATTTGCAAATATTTTCTCCCATTTGGAAACAAGAAACAAGTCTTTTAGTCTTGTTTGTAGTTTGCTTTGCAAAAGCTTTTAAATTTCATTAGGTCCCATTTGTTTATTTTTATTTCCATTACTCTGGGAGGTGGATCAAAAAAGATCTTGCTGTGATTTATGTCAAAGAGTGTTCTTCCTATGTTTTCCTCTAAGAGTTTTATAGTGTCTGGTCTTACATTTAGGTCTTTAATCCATTTTGAGTTTATTTTTGTGTATGGTGTTAGGGAGTGTTCTAATTTCATTCTTTTACACGTAGCTGTCCAGTTTTCCCATCACCACTTATTGAAGAGACTGTCGTTTCTCCATTGTATATCCTTGCCTCCTTTGTCATAGATTAGTTGACCATAGGTAAGTGGGTTTATCTCTGGGCTTTCTATCCTGTTCCATTGATCTATATTTCTGTTTTTGTGCCAGTACCATATTGTCTTGATTATTGTAGCTTTGTATTATAATCTGAAGTCAGGGAGTCTGATTCCTCCAGCTCCGTTTTTTTCCCTCAAGACTGCTTTGGCTATTCGGGGTCTGTTGTGTCTCCGTACAAATTTTAAGGATCCAGATTTTTTAATGTTTGATTAAATATTCTTTTTTTTTTTTTGAAGTATAGTTGATTTACAATGTTGTGTTAATTTCTGGTGCACAGCAAAGTGATTCAGTTAAATATATATATTCTTTTTCATATTCTTTTCCATTATTGTTTATTACAAGATATTAAATATAGTTCCCTGTGCTATATAGTAAGACCTTGTTATTTATCCATAAAATATACATTTTTTTATTAAGGTACACCAGACCCTGAACCGGACAGGGTTGGTTCTAAGTGCTGGGTGAGTGCAGTGGAGGAGAGGGGATTCCATGTGGACTCAGGTGGTCAGGGAGGGCTCCCTGGAGGAGTGAACAATGAGCTGGACCCTGCAGGAGGAAGGGTCAGCAGTTCAGCCCTTGGGTAAAATTGAAATGTGGAAATAAATAGTAGCTGAACATCCCCCCTCCCTTCTCCCTCTGTAAATGGGGCATGAAGAGCACCTGTCTATAGGATTCCTGTGAGCATCCATTGACCTGTGGGTGCCTGCAGTGGACCCTTGGAACTGTGGCTCTCACTGCTCTTTTTCAATATATTAATATAATTCAACAACAAATACCCATGAAGGGTTTACCATGCCCCAGAGCCAGAGCTAGGAGCCGAGGACGCGTAGATATATCCAGCGGCCACGCCCCCCCCCCCCCCCCCCCCCCCACACACACACCAGGTCAGTTGTCCCTCATGGCGGTGGGTGCTTGTCCCCGGGCTCCACAGGATGGGGACCTGGCTGCTTCTGTTCACCATTATGTCCCCAGGGTCCTAACCCTGTGCCTGCCACCCAGTAGGTGCTCAGTAAATGTGTTGCAGAATGGATGGATGGATGGATGGATGGGTGGATGAAGGAATGGATGAAGGAGTGAATTAAAGGGAGCTGCTCCTGTTCTCGGGCTGCACCATCCATCAGCAGAGGGAGACACAGGGAAAAGGCTCAGAGCACATCGCTGAGCCGGTGCCTGAGTCGTGATCATCTCGGCAGCTCCGGGCTGGGGGCCCTGCGGGCACTCACTGCGCGCTGTCCGCCGCCCCGCTGACCCTCGGGCCCCTCCGCAGGTGAGTGTCCCAGCCCCGGGCGCGGCGGCGCCGCCAAGCGGAAGAAGAAGCAGCGGCGGAACCGCACCACGTTCAACAGCAGCCAGCTGCAGGCGCTGGAGCGCGTGTTCGAGCGCACGCACTACCCCGACGCCTTCGTGCGGGAGGAGCTAGCCCGGCGCGTCAACCTCAGCGAGGCGCGTGTCCAGGTGAGTGCTGCCCATCCGTGGGCCTCCCGGGGGAGCGCGCAGCCACCACTCACCCAGGGTTAAGGAGTTGCCAAGGTGAGGTGTTTCAGAGCAGGACCATCTGAGGCCAGGAGGGCTGAGGTTCAAATCCAAGCCCTGCCACTGACTAGCTGTGTGACCTTGAGCAAGTTACTCAGCCTCTCTGTGCCTTAGGTACCTCCCTGTAAAATGAGGATCACGTGGGTCTGTTTTATAGGGTTCTTACGAGAATGAAAGAAGTTGATATTTTTGTAGCTTAGAGCAGTGCCTGGCACATGGGGTTTGGATAAATAAAAGTCGTTTTAAAGTGTTCAGTGCTGGGCTTCCCTGGTGGCGCAGTGGTTGAGAGTCCACCTGCCGATGCAGGGGACACGGGTTCGTGCCCCGGTCTGGGAAGATCCCACATGCCGCGGAGCAGCTGGGCCCGTGAGCCATGGCCACTGAGCCTGCGCGTCCGGAGCCTGTGCTCCGCAACGGGAGAGGTCACAACACTGAGAGGCCCGCAAACCGCAAAAAAAAAAAAAAAAAAAAAGTGTTCAGTGCTTGTTCCGTGCCAGCCCTGAGCTGAGTGCCCAGCATGCACCTCTCGCATTACAACCTCACAGCAGCTAAATGCTCATCTATTCATTCTTTCATTCATCCACTTGCACATTCTCCAACACATACTTACCCAGTGGTAGGCACCATTTATCACCCCCATTTTACAGATGAGAAAATTGAGGCTCAGAGAGGTGAAGCTGCCAGTGCAGGGTGGGTGGCAGAGCAGGCACATGCTGGGTGCAAAAGGACTTGGGTCCCCTCAGCAGCCCGCTCACCCCTCCTTCCCGCCCCCAGGTCTGGTTTCAGAACCGCCGGGCCAAGTTCCGCCGAAACGAGCGGGCCATGCTGGCCAACCGCTCAGCCTCGCTGCTCAAGTCCTACAGCCAGGAAGCCGCCATCGAGCAGCCCGTGGCTCCCCGGCCCACTGCCCTGAGCCCCGATTATCTCTCCTGGACGGCCTCGTCCCCCTACAGGTGAGAGCGGGAACCCTTTTGGGTCGGGAGGGCGCAAGCAACCAGGGGACCCCATGGTGTTTTAGGGCCCAGACTCCTTTGAGGATCTGAAGACAGCTGGGAAAGGTGCCCAGGTGCCCCGTGGACCTGGGGGGCACCAAGGGGTGTGTGGGCAAGCGTGTGAGCGTGTGGAGGGGCGAGAAAATGAGGCCTGTTGGGAAGGAGTGGAGAAGCCACGTCATCCTGAGGAAGCTGAAAACCTGCAGGTTCCTGGGCTGGCGCGAGCGCCCCAGCACCCTTCGGCCACCATCCCAGAGAGAGGCTGGGGGGCCGAGGGAGTGGTTCCCTGTCCCAGGGGCCTGGCTGGGCCCCAGAGTCAAAGTCTGGGGCAGTTTTGTCCCGGTCAAAGCTGGGGAAAGGTGGCAGGGCAGGAAGGGAGAGGAAGGAGGTGCTGGCGAGTTGGGTTTCTGCACCCCACAACTCCAGGGAGTGCCATCCACCCCTGAGTCTGTGCGAGCAGCTCTGCTGGAGCCATGGTCTCGTGAGAGGCAAGAGCTGGTGGGTCGTGGGATCTGAGTCCTAGTGATGCCCACGCTAGCCTCACAGCTCTCACAGCTCCCCCCATGCCGTGCTCTTACCTGGGGCGGGAGAACCTCCAAGAGGTCTCCTTCCATACAGGTGTGCGTTCATCCCAGCCCCATCCTGCTGTGTGCCAGGCCCAGGGCAGGCGCTAGGGGTGAACAGGAGCTTCCGCTCTCAGGAAGCTCCTGGTCCAGCGAGGAAGGACCACAAGCCTACGGGGGCGGCTCCATGTCCCAGGGCTGACTCTGGGCACTTCTGCCTCTTCCCCCCAGTCTTGTAGCCCCAGGGGAAGGCTTCCCAGCCGAGTGAGCTGAGGAGGGGAGGCAGGAGGACCAGAGGCTGGGGTCCAAGACTGGCCGCCAGAGGTGGCCAGCCCCCGGCGGTCTTCCAGCCACAGCAATATATCCTTGTGTCTTATGTCACCCCCAGCACGGTGCCGCCATACAGCCCAGGAGGCTCAGGCCCTGCGACCCCAGGGGTCAACATGGCCAACAGCATCGCCAGCCTTCGTCTCAAGGCCAAGGAGTTCAGCCTGCATCATAGCCAGGTGCCCACGGTGAACTGACAGCCAGCCCCACCAGGCCCCCGCCGCCTCCCTGGCTGCCTCCCCGCTGCCTCCCTGGACAGGCTGGGTGGGCTCTCCTGGCCCCTCTCTTCAGCCCGGACTTCTGAGCCCAAGAGGCTGCTGAGATGCCCAGAGCCTGGCTCAGCCCTTCATCCACGGCCACTGGAGACTGCGGCCCCTGACCCTGGAGGTGCTGGGCTGGAAGGTTGGAGCAGCGGCTCACCAAGGACCTCACTTACTTTGTGTATTAAAGCCAAAAAGCTGTTGTCTTTAAGAAATAAACAAAAAAAATTTTAAGCCCCAAAAGATTGCGGGAGGGCGGACAAGGGCAGCAAACCAATGAAGGGACGGCCTTTTGGGGCCAGCTGCCCTCGTCTGTGTGCCTCTTTCTGCAGGAAGTCCTCCATCACCTGTAGAGCCCCAGGGGTGGGGAGCCGGGTAGGGAGACAGAGTCCTGCCCTGGAACCCCAACACCCGGGTGTTTGGGAGAAACCCCGATGTGTGACCCTGGCCAGGACCCGAACCCTCTCTGTGCAGGCAGTGTCTCCCCTGCCCTATGGCAGGAGCAGAGGGTGTGTGGAGGCAGACGCTAAAATTAAATCCCTTGCTGCTGGGCATGCAGAAGCTGGGGGTCCCCTGGGCATTTGACTGTGGGGGACCCAGGCAGATGGCCCAGAATGTCGGGGTGCAGAGTGGAGGACCCAGGTGGGCTCACAGGACAGACGGTTGGTCCTAACAGACAGGGCCACCAGAGACCTTCCAAGTCCTCCAACCTACCGTTTCAGAGATGGTCACTGGGGGTGACAGAAGACACATGTGCCACCAGGCACTGACATCACTTATGAGGAGTGTGCAGAAAACTGTGGGGTGAGGGGAGTGGTCTGAAGCCAGCCCTCTCCACCTGGCCCCGTGCCACGCCTGCTGATGGGCGCACCCTCCAGGGAAGTTAAGAGATAATTTCTGGGAATTCCCTGGTGATCCATCCGGTGGTTAGGACTCGCTGCTTTCACTGCCAGGGCCCGGGTTCCATCCCTGGTCGGGGAACTAAGATCCCAAAAGCCATGCGGCCGGAAAAAATAAAATATAATAAAGTGATCATTTCTGCAACCAGCCCCCAGGAAGTAAGACAACACTTCCTGACCCCCAGAGGGCGCAAAGATGCTCGGCGCCTCCGGAGGGGCGGCCCTCACAGTGACACAGCCATCACACCTCTGGACTCCATGGATGGACCCCCGTTTCTCTAGTCTGTCCTGCCCACACCACATCAAAGCCCCCCCAAAGGGCCAGTGTCCCCCCCCACCAGCCACAGGCTGCATCTTCTAGGTGACCTTGAATAGGTCAAAGCCACGTGACAATCTTAACACGAGGGATGGTCCCCATTTTTGTTTTAGAAGGTGTAACTAACCCCTGAGTGAGGTGAGGACCCTCCCCATCTCCCCCAATTTACCCCCAGAGATTCTTCCCCATCCTCCATCGGGAATTCCACCATGAAAACACAGTTCTGGGCTTCCCTGGTGGTGCAGTGGTTAAGAATCCGCCCGCCAATGCAGGGGACACGGGTTTGAGCCCTGGTCCAGGAAGATCCCACATGCTGCGGAGCAACTAAGCCCATGTGCCACAACTACTGAGCATGTGCTCTAGAGCCCGCGAGCCACAACTACTGAGCCCGTGTGCTGCAACTTCTGAAGCCCGCGCCCCGCAACAAGAGAAGCCACTGCAATGAGAAGCCCGCGCACCGCAACGAAGAGTAGCCCCGGCTCGCCGCAACTAGAGAAAGCCCGCGCGCAGCAACGAAGACCCAATGCAGCCAATAAACAAATAAATAAGAAAACAAAACAAACAAACAAAAAAGAAAACATGGTTCTTGTGGGGTGAGCTTTGTCCCCTTCAGATGGGCCAACAGGCCCTGGGGACCATCGCCGTGTGTCTTCCCTGTGGCTGGGCAGTTGGGACTCTGGTCCTTGGGGGGGGTGGGAAACGATGAGGTGAGGCACAGGCTCCAGCTGAAGGCGTGGGGAGGGGGCATTCTGCTGATATATGGAGCTGGCTCTGCCGGCCTGACTACGGCGGCCAGAGCAAAGGGCTGGCCTGTACCCTGTACTGTGTGTGTGTATGGTGGGGGAAGGGGGAAGGTGGGTACAGCCAGAGCTGTGTTTTCTTGCTCAGTTTAGCCTCTGCCTTGGGTAAGTGATTTCTGGGCTTCTATTTGCCATTCATTCACTGAACAAATATTATGAAATACTATATGTGTGCAGGGCCCTACACTGGGCCCTGAGGAGAAAGCAGAGAATTGACACGGGGTCCCTGGCTTCAGAGGTCACACCAAGCCCAAGGAGCCCCAAACCTAGTCTAAGGCATCCAGGCAGGCTTCCTGGAGGAAGCGTCCTGGAAGGATGAAGAGTCCACCAGACAAAGAGGGGAGTGAGAACAGTGTTTCTGGAGAAGGGAACAGCATGTGTAAAGGCCCTGGGGTAGGCCAGAAGCTGCCTCTTTGGGCCAGTGGGGACAGTTCTGGGCCTGGATCTCCTGCAGGATGAAGATGGAGAGAAGCAGGGACAGCTCACGTGGGGCTTGTGTGGCCAGATCTAAAGTCTGGATGTCGGGACTTCCCTGGCGGTCCAGTGGTTGGGACTCTGTGCTTCCACTGCAGGGGACATGGGTTCTATCCCTGGTCGGGGAACTAAGGTTCCACATGCTGCATGGCACAGTCAAAAAAATTGTTTTTTAAATTAAAAAATAAAGTTTGGATGTCACCCTGGCAGTGAGGAGCCATGGAGGGAATTTGCTGGGTGGAGGGACCCGCCCCTTGGACCCTGTTGGAAGCAGAGAGACCCCTGCAGAGGCTGGGCTGGATGTCCAGGCAGGAGAAGTGGCAGCCTGGACCAGATGGGGACAGAGTGGGCAATCTGGGAGGTGTCCCAGACACAGCAGGGACAGGGGTTGATGACTAGGTGTTGGGGAGCAAGGGGGTGCCCAGGGGGCCAGGAATTGGCTTAAGCATGTGGGTGCCTGGGAGGAAGAGACCCTGGCAGTAGGACCCACCTGGTAGAGGGGTCGAGAAGATGCTGGCCTGCCCTTCCACCCAGACAAGCACTGGGGCCGTCCTGGTCTGAGCAGGGTCCTCCCTCACAAGGAGCTGACACCCACCCCAAGGATTTGCACCAGCGAAGGGCCGGCCCACAGGGCCCAGAGCTGTGCCCTCACGGGCAGCCAGGAAGAGCGGCCTTTTTGTGAGCACATGGACGAGCCCAGCCAGGCCCTGGGCAGTGCCCCAGAACCCAGATGGAGGTGCATCTGGTCTTTCTATTTTCAGTCCAGAGGGAGGGGCCGTGAAGCATCGCCAGGTTGGGGCTGCCTGCAGCAGAGGTGGGGTCACACTGGCCGGGGGCTCCCACTAGGGCCTGGAAGGTGGGTCCCAAGAACACCAGCTTCAGAAAAAGCCATGGGCCCGGTTCCCATAGAGGCGCTGGCCCCGCTATCGGGCCACAAGGATGTCAATGTCACTTCCTCTCAAGCGCTCAAGGAAAAACAGACCAGCCTAATCGTTTACACATGCTGCTCTGGGGAGCTGCGGGAGGGGCCCCAGCGGCCCTCCTTGTGAAAGAAAATATATTCCAACATTGCTGTCACGATTGTAGCCCTAATTGCAGGGCTGTGTAGGCAGCTTCCTGGGCACCCGTCCCAGGATATAATTTTCCATGAGGATGAGGTACCCGAGGCCCCGTCCCGGGCTGGGAGAACTTGGAATCCTTCTCCCTCTGATTCCCTTTCCCCTTTTGGCCAAGCAAGCTTGGGACAGGGCACTGAATGTATCTGCTTCTGTTTTTTTGTTTGAAATAAAGAAACTTGAGTCAAGAGAGAGAGAAATCGAAGGAAAGGCAGTCTGGCTCTTGCAAAACCCAAAACCTGAGAAATTAAGACCAGAGTTTTACCTTGGGCAAGGCACTTCTCCGGGCCTCAGTTTCCTCCTCTGTAACATGGGGTGATAACAGAAGCCACCTCACAGGGTTGTTGGCAGAGTTACCCTCCATAAATGAGCGCTGTGGTGTATACGGTGGAAAAACACAGAGCAAGCGGTGGAGTTTAGGGAAGTCAAAATACTCCCTGTTCTGGGGTGAAATTGCACATTCCCTCCTCAGAGAACCTGGCTCTTCCCCTTGTCCCTTCCAAGCCCACGCTCCTTGGGCACCAGCCGGGGACCAAAGCTCCTGCACCTCTGCTGCCTGCCACTGGAGGGCGCTGTGGGGTCCCCGCCAGGCACAGAGCCGGGAGAACAAGGGCCCTCTCCCACACAGATCGCCGGAGATGGCCGCAGGCTCCTGACCCAAAGACAAAGAAACAAGCAAATCCCAAATCACCAGCAGGGGTCACAGCATAAAAATCAGCACAAGCCTTTCGGGAAATGTACCAACAGCCACGAACACGTTGCATGCTTTCACCCAGTAATTCTACCTCTAAGCCGCACTTCAAAAAATAATCCACAGTGGGGTGGGGGGTGGAAGCAACGTGTGCCAAGATGGCTGTTTATCGTGTGTTTTCATAGATGCAGTGTAAGAATTCTGGGAAGACCCAAAGCAGGTTGTAAATACTTGAAATTTGATAATGGCTCACAATCCGCTTGTCTCTCTGTTTTCTGTAATGAGACTAATAACCTCACAGGGAAGCAGAACAAGCAGGCCCATATGATCATCTCAACTACATGAGAAGCTCTTTGAAATGAAAAAAAGTGCTTTCTTCCCTTTTATGTCCCCCTGGGTGCCTCAGTCAGAGCTGGACTCGTCTTTTCCATACCTATTGGTAAGTGAGTGGCCCCCACCCAAAGCTCTCCTCTCTGCTCCTGTTATCCCACCATTAGTCCTTCAGGTCTTGAAGCTTTGTGGTCGTCAGGAATTCCCTTCTCTATTGCAAGTGCTGGAAAGAGCGTGTTTGAGAACTTCTTAAGCTCTTAGTTCACACCTTAGAAGAAGTGGGAATGGATCGAGCTTGGGATATGAGGAGTCAGGAGTGGGCACCTTGAAACTGGAAGGTGCACTTGATAAAGTGGTGTGGATGACATAATTCTAAGATGGTCCCATGATTCCTTCCCCAGGGAGACACACACTTTGTAATCCCGTCTCCTTGGGTAGGGGTGGAACCTCTGACTTGCTTCTAACCAATAGAATATGGTGAAGATGAAGGGATTTAGCAGATGTGATTAAGGTCCCTAAT